TTGCATCATGAAGACATTAACCATTGTCCACTGTATAACATGCTGCCAAAATTTAGTAGCTTTTCCATAGTATAGGTATATTTCACCATAATATTGTAGGTAAAATAGGTTGGGATTTACTAACTTCAACTATGTGTTAGTCCATATAACAGTTAAAATGAATCAAAACGTTAAGAAAAAATTTATAATAGGTCTGTTCCACTAGCTACTCGTAGTAACTTTGATTAACACTGTGAATATACAAGCGCATTCCACCAGCAAATTTTCGAATAAATGAAAACATCTGAGAGAGCGTAACATCCCTGTCGAAATTTGAAAATGCTACACAGACTTTACTCGTACTTTTTATTTCAAGTTAAATTTGTGTTGATATATAAAACAGCTGATTTGGTTTTAATTTGAATTTTTGTAGTGTTTATTTGCGCGGCACTCGTGTTCTCAGCAGACTTTACACAAGGCTGTTCCAAGAAGATCTGTGTAATGAGCGTACTTTGACACTTTATTTGTGTTACGCTCTCAGTTTGTACTTTACTTGTGTTTTACTTGAGTTTCACTACGAGTAGTTAGTGGAACAGACATAATATAAAATATAATCACGATTTGTTTTGAACTAGACTAGAAACTAGACTTTGATTATACTGTGTAGTGTTCTGTTCTGACTTGGTACAATTCATATAATAAATTGTATATCGTTCTCTTTTTAATCGTTCGTTTGATATATATATTTTAGTTAATATCGACCAGCGCTCTGATGCAGACTGTGGTAAACGAATCTTAGCCGATGTGAGTAATACTTTTCCTAAACCTGACGAATCACTTGCAATAGAAGAACACTTCATAGGCAAGTATATAATAATTGTATTTATATACTAAGACGAGTATGTTTACAATTTTAATTAAATATTTTTAGCCAATATAAACAAAAATAGAATAGAGTATAAATTTAGAATCATAAAATCAATGATGCATTTTCTTTTCCTATAGAACCTCAACCTGAGGAGCTTAAATTAAAATCAATTACTGATAACATTTCTTCTCAAAGAGAAATGGATTTAAGAAGGTATTCTAAGTCAATAACGGCTGCACAACCACAATTAGATGACAAAATTGAAGTAGATTTCAGGAGAAAGCAATTAGAAGATCCACTTACAATGATCAAATTAAATGAATTCAAAAGGAATTCAAGGCATTTAAGTAGGAAACGTTTAATAAAATTATTAAAAAATGATATCAAGTATGAGCGAAAATCTCGCAAAAATAAACAACACCGAAAAGGAAAGAAGGGCAATGATCATCAAAATGCTGAATGTAATTACCTAGAATTCTTATTTAGTTTAAATAAGATCGACGGTTGCTGGAAAAAAGGAATAGATAAACTGTTTCTAGATTTAAACAAACGTTTATCGCTACAAGAAAATTGTTTATTCCATAACACTCTAAGAAAATATCAATCCATATTTGAAACCATCGGTAATACGATGATTGAGGAATTGAAGACTACAATTTATAAGGATTTACTAAAGACCTCCTATATTATGCAACGTAAACTCTGTGCAAATAAACGTAAACGGTCCAATAACTCACTGGAATCTGAATTACCAACTAAAAAAAAAGTATTAAAAGAGCATTAAATAATTTAAACAATTAATTTTGAATATTAATTTCTCATTAATTAATTTAATTCAATAATTTTTCCTATACAATCACAAAACTTTGTTAACTATCAGAATAAAAAGTTCAAATAGATTAAAGCGATTTTTTAACTGATATGTTTAGAATATCTATGTTATATACAATTAACTTGTAATATTATACTGTTAAATTAGTAGTATTACATTTTAATTAAAAAATCTATTTCAAAATTTTTGTATAAAAATCCATTTCACTTTCTATCCAAAGCCTCGGTGAACTCTACTACGTAAAACGATATCCTGTGTGTCTGTGGTCCTGTCTGTTCTCAATAAATCGTAAAACATTAGCTGAAATCTGATTCTGTTATGAGAAAAAGCAACATTCGTTCCATGAATTAATATAATTTTTTATTTTGCACTCCACTCTTTAACCTCAAATGTGTACCGGTGCACCTATCACCTTGCGGGATTCACCTTAACAATATTGCTGTATTTTGAGTGTATATGAGAGTGGTTTTAAATCCATTAAATAAGAAAGATTCTACGAGGACATTGCCTTTTTAAATTTTAATTTTATCTGAGTTGCAATAGTACTCTTCCATTTCAACTTTCCATAAAATAGAAGTGACTGCAGTTACCTAACTCTGTAAATCGATAAAAGCACTTCTAACCTTATTGATTCCAAAAGAAACAATCTTCTTATGCTTTTTTTTTGATTTCATATTTCTAAGATTTTTTATTTGGAATGGAATGGAAGATAATGGAACCTTATATTAGCTACTCATGATCATAGACTTTTCTTTACTAATTGATAAGCATGTTTCTTAAAACTTCACGTACAATTAACTTAGGCAACCTTGAATGCTGAATTACGACATTAGCGTATTCCAAATATTCTGGATAGGTTAATGGTTGATTCTGCAGTGCACTTTCTGCACCATTCAAAAAAATCCAAGCCAGTCTAATCGATGTAAAGACTTTAAAATGGGAAGCAAACATCATACTTTTCGGTAATTTAATTTAATATAATTTTATATATTTCAATCCATATAATTCTTCAGTTTCCACAAACCCATATAGTTACAGCTATATTTGGATCACATTTGAGAACCGCGTGAGAATCATACAACCTAAGAAACTTAGTTAATTAATATTCATTTTTTTTTAATAAATTAAAAAGAAACTAGGTTTATATAAATTCCTAATATAAAATATATATTCTTTCAATTCGCCGAAGGGTCCTACCAATTACGTAGACACAACATTTGGACTACGAAATTATTTGAACGTGAGCGATTTAGATTAGAAATGAATGGACTAATTGGGTGTGAAGTGAAATAAAAGAATGAGAACGGTAAATGGAGTTAACATAAACTATTGAAGATACTGAACTATCGCGTACCAAGATTTTGGCATTTTAGTGATAGCAAGAGAAAACTTCAGATCAATTGGATGGTTTATATGTATAGTTGGACAATTAATTAGGGATATAAAGCGGATACTGAATACCCACTAATACTTTCTGAATAACTACACTAAAGGCAAAGAATACTGTATACAAAAACTATTAATTTTATATAAGCCATCTGTTCTCAGATAAAAATAATTAATAGCACGTTTTTTACACAACACCCTACTATATAAAGTCCTTTCATTTTATGCTGATTTTTTTAACAGATTATTATTGTTTTTCATTTCTTCATTTGCAGAGATTACAAAATAAATAAGAATTCAAAATTCCCTTACATTTTTTATGTCATAAATTGCGTATTAGTTTAATCTTCAAATGGAAAAAGTGCCTATTAGAGAGCAAAGTTCAGCAATACCTTTCTACGTACATCAGAAATTCTATTTAAAGACGTAAACTAAACTTTTTCTCAAGCTGCCGTCCTTAGGTTTGTCTATTTTTCTTTTCTTTTGGTTTTATCAATGTAAAAAGTTTTCGTTTAAATGCAGTTTGAATTTTCCATTTTCAATTGAAATGGAAAACAAAATAAAAAATAGACACCTACAAGGCAATAATATGCACATCCAAGAAAGCAAGCGACGGAAACTAATACCCAAAGTGCAACTCAAATAGTTTTACCGACTTTGTTGATGTACGCTTTCTGCCCGCAGGTGACGCTTCTTGGAGCATGATAAATTTAAGTTTTCAGATTTAAGTTTATGTTTCGCAACTACAATTTTGAAAATGTAAAAAGTGGCACCTGAGATCATGGAGTGGAGCAATTGCATCACTTGACAATTGCTTGCAATAATTTACAGTTCAAATGCTTTTGAACTTTTGTAACGCATGTTCAGCACTTCACTGCTGAAGATTTTACTCTAGTTGGATAAAGTTTACTCCATTTGTCAATGGAGGAAAACGAAGTTTACTTGGTACTTTAATCAAGGTAAGTGTTATATATTGTGAATTTATTCTTATTTCGTACCCTTTTTTTCAATTTTGCTAAAGAATTTGCTCAAATAGTGAAATTGTCCAACCAATCGAATACCAACAACAGTTTATTGTAATATCTTCTTAGATATTACGGTTGCATCGTTAGAATTGATTAAAAAGACGTCCACAAAAAGACTTACAAAAAGAACTAAACTACCGCAATTAACATCTGAATATAGCCACGTACTAAACGTTTACTTGCCACACATAAATACATCTGTAATCCATATGACACTGACCGTCTGGATGCATGTCCAAATACACACGCGGATTTGAATCCTATTGATTAATATTTCCTTTCTATTGGGATGCCAAGATTCATTATATGCGTCCAGCTTAGGCTTAACGTTATTACCTATCTGTTTTCTTATTCCTACTTTACAACACTTCAATCTCTCCATCCTGTGCTATAATCCAAGTTTTTTATCCTTATATGTGGTTACTTTTCAAAACAGCGTAAGTATATTTTTCATGAATTTTTTATTTTAGAAATATAAAGCATTCATATATCGGTAATAATAATATGTAAATACATAAAATTTTACGTAAATAGTGACATTTTTTCGAGAAGATATGTTTAAAAAATAAAAGTTTTCTACTCCTGATCTTTCTACAATTAATAAGTTAGCATATATATATGTTTTATACCGACAGACGGCTATTGTTGTACTTTTATTCACACAAAAATAGCTTAAGCATGAAATGTATGTATTTTGTATTTAAAGAATTTTTGTCATATTGTTTTAAATAAAAACTATTACTATTAAAAAAAATTCTTACTGTTAATGTGTTATAATATAAAGCGAAGTTAGCGTTAGTTTTGCAGCTCTTTACATTAACAATATTTATTTAATGTGAATGAAAACTTATTTTACGAAATAATATACGTATTTAATATTATATTATTATCTTATCGGTCACATCATTATAACATAATAATAAATATTTAATATAGAACGTTTTCGTTTCATTTTAACTGGTTTCGAAAAATTTAATTTTCAAACCCGTATACTTTTAAATTCCCAGCCTCACGTCGTCGATCATTATTATCTTTATCATCACAAGCATAAGCTAGTAAGTATTTTTTCGGATTCCAAGCTACAGTAAATGTTGATGCATCTACCGGTACTTTTGTTACTTTCTCACCCGTTGTAGCATATGCAATATCAATAAACAAATCTTCACTACCAGAAGCTATTAATTTGCCATCATGACTGAAAGAAATAGTGCGTACAGGCCATTCCAAACGTTCGATTACATGTTGACATGACAATTCATTCGCATTCCAAACAGAAACCAAAGAATCAGCAGACCCAACAGCAAAATATTTGCCTAGAACACATATGTGCATATATTAAATAAATAAATAAATCAAAAATTCATATAAACATACCAGTGGGATCAAATTCAATGCATATGCATGTCGCAGGGTGTCCTCGAAGTACTTCCATTGATTCTAAATTAGGATAACTCAAAACGTGTACACTACCTGTACCACTAGTTAAAAAGAACAAATTATTGTTTTTATTCCAAGCAATTTCATTAACCTAAAATTATATAAATTAACAAAAACCAATAGAATAGATTTGTATTTAAAATACCTCAAAGTTAAATTGTTTCTCAACTTTTATTTTATTTGTACGTGCATCGATAAATGTGACTAAATCATCCTTATTGCCAACAGCTATTGTTTTGCCATCTGGTGACCAAGTTATATTAATATTTTCACCTTTTGTATTCACAACAGCAGAACACCTTCCAGCTCTAGCGTCCCATATGCGTACAGACTTATCACCACTAGCTGTACTTAACAAATCTGGATGATGTGCGTGCCAACACAGCTGATCTACAGAAGCTGTATGACCACGTAAAGTGGTATCTTTTGCCTAATATATAAAAAAATTATTTTTATATGTAATATTTAATTAATTTTTTTTATTAAACCAACCAAGCGATCTCTGTCTAATGTGTACACAACAACAGTTTTATCAAATGAACCTGAAGCTAAACGACGTCCTTCACAGCTCCAACCAACTGAATGCACCTATCATAATTTTTATATTTCAATATAATTTTAATACCATAAAAATATTATTAAAAAATGTTAAATTAGAAAATTTTACTAACCTTCGCTGAATGCGCTCTCTGCTCACGTACGATCTTATGCCTTTTAAAGAAATACTGCAAATCTTTTATATCCGACGATATTTGTGCACTCGTTTGCATTTTAAACAACTTTTATTATGTTACGAAGATAATTTATATTTTTTATGGAAAACCGGCACTTTGGTAAACAAAAATTCTTTTTCATTTGAAAATGCTCGAAGTGCATATGAAAGTATTTTCATTTTGACAGCTGTGTGCAGGGTTGCATTTTCTGCAAAATAATTTTCATAAAAATTACACAATAATAAATTTCAAAGTATTATATATATTTGCATATGATTTGCATAATCTTCTGATCATATATATTTTGTGAAACATAATATTTTGTAATTTGTGATAATAATATTAAATAATTACATAAAAACATATGCAAAGTTCATACAAGTAAATTATTTTTGAAATCCGTCAATTGCACACGATTCTATCAGGCATAGTTCACATTATATATAATACTGGATTCACACGAGAGTTTTGTTTGTTGTTTTAGCTGTCAAAAATTTATTTGTAATAACAGCTAAACTTACAAACAAAATTCTTGTATGAATCCAGTATAAACTTGAAATCTTATACCACAAGTTCAAAAATGATCTATAGATCATGAGTATCCGTTGAACAAAATAATAGCCTATCATTAAAGAAACAGAAAATAGTTTCGTAGGTTATGACTGAAATTCAAATATTTTCTCAATAAAAGACTATAGAAGGGCTTAGACGTGCTCAATAACTCAATTAATCGAAAAAGTTTAATATATGTTTGATTTTGTATTACCGAATTACCGAGACATCAAGTCTATTTTTATTTTTTTTGGATTAATTCATTCTTATCATTATAAAGTCTCGCACAAAATTTGAATTGAATTTAAAGTGTTTAAGAAAAATTATTAATTTGAAGTTATGAGTGGAAATCTTAAAAAAAGAGGAAGATTTCATTCAATTTTGAATATATCTCTGCTTGTTATTTTTTTGCTTTTAAGTACAAAATAACAAACAAAATTATATGCTTTGATCATTTAATTTTTCAGCTCTACGCCCAAGATTAATATCCATTTTCCTTAAAATATTCCATAAAACTATACATTCTAAGAAATTTTTTTTATAGTGTTTTATGTCAATTTTTCGTTAGATTTAAATATTAGATCTAAAGTTTACCGAGAAATAATTTAAAAAAAGCGTTCAGACATACATATATCATTTTGCATATTACCGTGTTATATGTGGATAACCCTGATGTTTTTCCTTTTATTTAACATTTTGACTTCAATAAGATTTTTAATTCACAGCGTTCTTTATTGAATAAAGAGGTATAAATAAATTAATTTAATTTCCTGTTTTTTAGTATTCTATAATTCAATTAATTAATGTCATAATGAACTTCATAAGACATGGATTTCCCCTTACTCATTATTTTTTAGTTGTAATTATGTGTAATGATATGAAAGCATTAAAAAAACTCTTTGCATATCCCGTTTTTCAAATCAAAACGTTTATTTGTCATATATTTGATGTCTATTATATGCATACATTTTATAAAATAACAAAATATTTACTTCAGTACGAGTAATGGCAACAGGCAGCAACAACGGCCTTCACAGTACTTTGTTAGTAAATAAAATAATCAAAATGACCGTGGACCCCGAGTTGTTTCAACGAATAATATTTCAATGCCAGATAGAAATTCTCAATTTTTAATACGGAAATATTATCAGATCAAGTGAAAGCGTTGAGTGTTCGATGCTTCTCAACAGTTTTTAGTTAAAGAATTTATATAAAAGAACCAACAACAAAACTAAAATAGTCGCTAAAAACTAATAAGCAAAATGAAACTACATTTAGTGCTATTTATATTTTTCTTAAATTTAATATTTACAATGTGTAATCCATTAACTAACATATTCAACCACATATTCAACACACAAGGATCATACAGCAATGGATATAATCGTCGACAGTCAGCGCCTTACTCAGCACCTCGTCCGCCTCAACGGTCTTATAAGCAAATATGTCATTTAGTGAACACAAATGGATTTACTAATCCTGGAAACGTGCCGAAATGTCCTTATTGATTACGTTTATGTTCTTAAAAATAGTATTTAACAATTGCAAAAGTTAAGAATATATTTAAAAAGGCGTATATAATGTAATAAATAAAATGTTTTAATTTATTTAAGTAAAATATTTTATATTTGCGCATAGTTTAAGATTTATACTAAAGGCCTAACAAGTTATGTTTAAATATTTAACTAAACATTTTAAATTTAAGATAATTCGTGGTTATTTATTAACAAATTTTTACTATTTAAAATAGTTTATATTTAAATAAAGATATAAATGCATATACTAAAATTTGCTATTCCAGTTGGTTAATGTAAAAAAATTAATTTAAAATCTATATCAATGTTACGGCATTTTCTTAGCACTTATCATTATGCATACACGGTTTCAGTCTAATCTAGCCTAGCCTAATCTAAAATAGCCTCTTTTGTACAATATAAAACACACATGCTAAGAAAAGCGTAAAGGCAAAGAACAGCAACATCTTATCTGTACACTCTCGTCGTCCATATTTCTTTAACAACTTGCCGGACTGTGATATTGTACCTGCCGTATTGTGTAATTCATCCCTAGTGGCTTCAACGTTCTGTGATGAAGCAACCAACGTTTCAAGTGTGTGAGCACTTTTTTGCGTTGTCTCAGACAAATGTCTTGATATGGCCAGCATTTTTTCGGTAACATTATTTTCCTGTGATACTAAACTAGTACGATTGTGACGTGCACCCGCCGTAGTACGTTGACGCAGTTCACTTTCACCTGTTATAGCCATCAATTCTTCACGATTAGCTTTTTCTATTTCCAACATAGCTGATATGTTAGCTTTACGAAAAGCTTGCAGTGTTTTAGAGAATTGCTGTCGATATTCGTCTACTTCTTTGGATAGATCTGGATCACTCATATCACGTGCCCAGTCATCAAGGTGTTGTATATTTTTACGTAAAGCAGCTAATTTTGCTCTGCCAACTTCATTGAACGCTTCTAATTCAGATATGGATCCACGGTATGTAAGTATGTCCTAAACAAAAATCTAATAACATTTGTATGTGGTGTATATGATTATACTTTACTTGAATAATTGCTTTCGCCTGCAAATTGTTGTCAATTAAATCCTGTCTTATAGAATTTAATGCCAATTTATCTGTGTCCATCTTTTATTTTTGTTTTAACTAAAATTTTTTAAAGAAACTAAATACAAATGCTACTAATTCTGCAAAACCAACTCATCACTGTGCGGTTTGTTTTGACAGCTGATGTTAAGGTAACCATCCAACTTTAGTCAAAATGTTGCCAGACTGCCTACTATTAATAAAGGTGACCATGTAGGAGCGTGTATAAACGGATAAAGTCTACATGTACAAGAGTCGCAACAAAATTTCTAGTAATAATGGCAAACCATTAAACTTGAAAACCTAAAAATGGCAAATAATAGTTTTTCTACCATGGACTACAACTTTTAGTTTTCTTAAAATTTCTCTATACTGGAAAAATAGTGACTTGAATCTTCTTTTTGGATCCTTATATTCATAGTTCATCACATCTGCCACATAAAGGTGCAAAATTGCAAAGCGAACGCTTACAAACGAACAAACTTTTATATGTAACATTACCTGCGAATGTTCGTTCGTTCGCAAGTGTTCGCATTGGTGTAGATGCACCTTAAAGCACTAAGCTATTGTAATATTAATTTACTAGATGGATTTATAAATACTCAGACTTAGTAATAAAAACTAATTTTTTTTGGAAAATATATAGTTTATGCTTCAATATAGTCCGTTTTTAGCTGGACACACCGAGTCCATTATTCTTTCAACATTTGGATATCTTTTATATAATACGATTTATCAAGCCCTCCAAATTATGCCTCAGTTTGCCAATCAACTTCATCATTTGATACAAATCTCTTTTCCTGGAGCCATCTTTTCAAGTTTCGAAACAGGTTATAGTCACTGGGAGCCAAATCTGAAGAATACAGTCAGTGAAGAACCACGAATAAATTCGTACTGTAATTCGTTTAGTTTTACCATGGTTTTCATTGATGTGTGATGGGGTAACTATCCTGCAGAATTTTTATCTTCAACACAAATGTAGTTTTTTTTTTAATTTTCTCATTCAATCGATCAAATAATATACAATAGTAGT